GGAGACGGAGTAAAGCCATGGCTAGCAATAGCATGGGGCTTATGCACAGGACCAGCTCAGGTAGGGGTGAGGGGGTGGGGGGAGGCACTGTTATTAAAAGAGCCCTATAGCCTGGCCGTTGTGGTTCAGGGGTTGAGCACCAACCTATGAACCAGGAGGTCAGGGTCCGGTTCCCAGTCAGGGCACAGGCCCGGATTGCAGGCTTCATCCGAAGTGTGGAGTGTGCAGGAGGCAGCCGATCCATGATTCCCTCGCATCATTGATGTTCCTCTCTCTCTCCCTCGCCCTCCCCCTCCCCCTCTGGAAGAAGAGAGGTCAGTTGGGCATTAAAGGGAGTAAGGAGCAGAGAGGGGGAGGAATGAGAAAGGATACTCTACGTTCCCGCACTGGAGGACACGCATGGCAGCGTCTGGGGACCTGGTGGGCCTAGGATGTGCGGGGGAGGGGGACGCGCTTGGGAAGGGGGGCCAGGTCTGGTTGGGAAGGGCCGGGGGAGGAGCCTGTACCTTTAAGCGGTCCTACCTCCTGCCCGGGCAGCAGGCAGCTCAGAGCTGTCAGCAGAGGCCAGGCCCCTGGGGTCAGTTTTCTCCGCTGGCTTGGGCGCTCCCAGACCCCTTGTTTCCAGCGTTGGGGCCCGCCTGGCACTGTTGTCTGGAAGAAGGAACGAGGCTCCAGCAATCTGCTGGCCTCCCACCGGCATCCTGGGAGGACAGAGATGCTTCCAGCACAGACGTCTGGCAGGGAACCGGGGGAGAACGTGGGGACCCTCCCCCTGACCGCCCGGGGTACCGCTGCTTTCTCAGAGAAAGAGGGTTCCGCCACCGACGGGATGTCCTTGGGCTCCGGAGGGGCAGGGACAGGGGCAACGGTGGTGATGGTGGAGCCGGTCTGCACTCTGCGTCCTGCCCCCAGACTCTGTGCTGTGGCGGAGTTCGCTGGGACTCAGTTTCCTTGCCTGTAAAATGGGAACATTACCACTGACCTGGCCTTTCCTTAAGTGGGAGCCCCCCAGCCACTTGGAAGTTCCCTTCCCCCACTCTGGGTACCGGCCTGGCCCCAACACGGAGCCTCTGATGCATCCTTGGCTCATCCTCTTTTTTTTTTTTTTTTTTAATTTTTATCTTTTATTTAATATATTTTATTGATTTTTTACAGAGAGGAAGAGAGAGGGATAGAGAGCCAGAAACATCGATGAGAGAGAATCATCCATCAGCTGCTTCCTGCACCACCCCTACTGGGGATGTGCCCGCAACCAAGGTACCTGCCCTTGACCGGAATCGAACCTACGACCGGTCTTGGCACTTTTCCCCCTGATTTTAACCAGATCCCACAGCCTCGCCCTCTCCGCCCGGGCTGAGCTTGGGTGGGGGCAAGGGGATGGAGATGGTGTGTGTGTGTGTGTGTGTGTGTGCGCGCGCTGGGAATGCCACTCTGAGCTCTGGGCACAGATTGCAGCTCCCGGGACATTTTCACACGTCTTAATGCCAACAGCTGCCTCGGGAGCTGATCTGCTTCCGCAGTGGGCTCTGAACCGGGGGCAGGAGGCTCTGGACGGTCCCGAAATCTGTGGGCGCAGGCTGAGCTCAGACACAGCAGGGAGGGGGGTGAGGGGGGCATTTGGCAGCAGCAGGACAGGAAGTGGGCATGAATAGGGGGCTGGGGTGACCGCCTGGAACACTGAGCAAGTGAGCGGCTGACCCTTCTAGGCCTCATTTTCCTCGTCCGAATCACAGGGCTAACCACCTCCCTCCGGGAGCTGTAAGGATGTGGGAGAGCCCTCACCGGTGTGGCTCAATGGATAGAGCGTCGGCCTGGGGACTCAAGGGTCCCAGGTTCGATTCCAGTCAAGGGCATGTACCTTGGTTGTGGGCACATCCTCAGTGGGAGGTGTTGCAGAAGGCAGCTGATAGATGTTTCTCATGGATGTTTCTAACTATCCCTCTCCCTTCCTCTCTGTAAAAAAAAAATCAATAAAATATATATATTAAAAAGAAAAAAGGATGTGGGAGATAGCATAGGGGGGTCAAGAACCCTCCAGCCGGGCGGAGAGCCAGCCAGGGATTCACCAGCTAAGATGCTGTTGATGGTGGGGTCATCTGGGGCAGCACATTAACATCCTATCTGGGTGACACCAATCTGCGGGCGGGCGGCCCCTCCTGCTCCAGACGGTAACCATGCCAACGGGGCGAACACCGCCGTCTCTTCCAGAACAATGCCAGGGTTCTTTTTAATATGTCCCTCGGTGTCCAGACTTGTCGGGGAGGCTAGAGTGTCCCAGAGTGCCCTGGAGGAAAGCAGGACGTGCCTTTTCTGGGTCACCCGTTCTCCGGGCTCCGGCAGCAGGTGCTGGCAGCGCGCGGCAGATCCGGTCCCCGGTGAGGAGCTGTGGGTACCACCGGCTCTGGGTGGAAGAGCGAGGCCGCAGGACCAGCTGTGGCGGCCGCCGCTTCCTGCTGCTGGCCCCGGGCTGGCCCAGGACCAGCACAGTCTGATCCCCAATCCTGAGAGGCAGGTGTGCTGAGTCCCATTCAGCAAGTGGCTTGCCCAAGGGTACTCAGCTGGGACCAGGCAGAGAAGGTTCCAATCCAAGTCCGGACCCTCCTCCCCCATCACGCCACAGGCCCATTGATCCTCAAGGAGCCTCGGGGTTTGCTCTGTTCCCTGCGGAGGCCTGTACCGGGGAAGACACAGCAGACCTGGCCCCGAATGGGGCCCTGCTCTCTGATCTTAATCATCGGCCCAACATAATGAGGGAAGCTGGAAGGGTCCCTCTAGAGTTGGAGGAACCTGGGGTCCCCTCCGGTGCTGGGGACCCTGGCCTCCTGGAGGGCAGGCCTGCGGGTGACAGTTACTATCTGCCGGGCTCTTTAAAGATATGTACTAGGGAAACCACGAGCCTGGTTTGTGAACCTCGGTTCCATGTGTCGTTAGCAAAGATGTCTCTTCAAGGCCGGTGAAGCCTCCTCCACACCCACGGGCAAATCCTACTTCACGGGACTGCGTTCCTCCTTTCAGCATCACAGCGGAGGGGAGGCGGCCAGGGAGGCTGGCGTCTGCGCAGACTGGACCGGCCTCTCCGCCCCCTCTAATCTCAGTTTCCTCTTTTGCTAGATAAAGGGTCAGGCCATGGTTGACTTAAAAAAAAAAAAAAAATATATATATATATATATATATATATATATATATATATATATTATTGATTTTTTTTTAACAGAGAGGAAGGGAGAGGGATAGAGAGTTGGAAACATCGATGGGAGAGAAACATTCATCAGCTGCCTCCTGCACACCCCCTACTGGGAATGTGCCCGCAACCAAGGTACATGCCCTTGACCGGAATCGAACCTGGGATCCTTCAGTCTGCAGGCCAAACCGGTTAGGGCAGTGGTTGACTTTCAAAAAAAATTTTTTTTAAAATTGATTTTTAGAGAGAGATAGAGGAAGGGAGAGGGATAGAGAGATAGAAACATCCATGAGAGGGGAAGTCATTGATTGGCTACCTCCTGCAAGGTCCCTACTGGGAATCGAGGCTCAACCACTGAGCCACACCAGCCTAGCAACTTTCAAGTGCCTTGCCAGCTTTCCTCCGATCTCCCGAGATTGCTATTCTACAGTTGCTTTTATCAGTCCTTCCAGGCCGAGTTCCAGATGGTAACACTCAGGTCCCGGGTGTTACCCACTTTCCAGTTAATTCCCGTCTCCCTTCTAACGCAGGGCTGTCTGACTGACTGCAGGAGCGCCCCCTCCCAGGGCTCAGCGCACGGTAGGTGCTCAGCTAAATTCTCAGCGCCCGAGGCCCTGTGTCCCTGGGGCTGCAAGTTCTCCTCGTTAGTGCCTGTTGTAGTCATTGGGGTTTTCCTGGTTTGTCCAGGGCGGGCCCAGCCCCAGCCCAGGGCCTGGCACAGGCACCCTCAGCATCTCAGCGTCGACTGGCAGGACTGGGAGGGGCTTAGGGACCAGCCAGCCTTTCACCCCTCTCTGTGGCAGCCTGGTTTTGAGCTCAGATCCTGGTCCCGCCACTTCCAGGCTGTGTAACCGCCTTGGGCGAGTCACTAACTCGGCTTGGAAAGCATGGAGAGCCCAGCCGTGCCCACGTGCTGGTGGGCTGTGAGGGTGACACAGGATTATACCCATAAAGGCACACCCTCGTAGGTGTGCCCCTTCTCTCCAGGAAAGTACAGAATGCCTAACGCCGAGGATCAGGGTGGGGCAGGTGGCGCATTGACCTGGGTGTGTGCGTGCGGGGGGAGAGGGACTGTCCCCCGGGCCGGTGCAGGGTGTGGCCCAGCGGAGCCCCGCGGCTGCCAGGGCTCGGGGCCGGCGAGAGGGCTGGGCGGGTTCGACCCGCCCCTCCGGGCACAAGACCTCCCGGATGCTCCAAGTAGCACCAGCTTTATTTGCGTTTCGGGTCCTTCGCAGGCCAGACCTCTCGCTCGGATTCGGGGTGCGCTGTTCTGAGTGGGGGTGCGCCCTCGCGCTGCCTGCGCAGGAGCCACCCCGCACCCCCTCCTCCACCCCCGCACTGCGCCCCGCGCCCCGCTCCCGCCTCCCGCTGCGGCGGCGGCCGCGGACTGCAGCACGCTCAGGGCGCATGCGCGGCCCGGGGTGGGCGGGGCCGCGGCGGCGGCTATTTATAGTAGGTGACGTCACCTTGAAATAGACCGTTAGGGCCGGCCCGCCCTTCCCCCCTCCCACTCGGGCCGCTCCCCGCCGCCCGCCGCGGCGGCTCCCACTGCGCAGGCGCCCCCGGCCGGCCCCGCCCCTCGGCTGCAGCCTCTCCTCAGCGGCGGCGGCGGCGGCGGCGGCGGCGGCGGCGGCGGCGGGCAGAGCGCGCGGGGCGAGCCAGCGAGAGGGCGCGGGCGGCGCGGCGGAGCGGAGCCTCGGGCGGCCGGCGAGCCAGTGCGCGTGCGCGGCGGCGGCGGCCTCCTCGGCGAGCGGGCGGGCGAGTCAGTCAGCGAGCGAGCGGCGCGGGGCGCGAGGCGAGGCCGAGCCACAGCGACGACATGGGGGACCGGGAGCAGCTGCTGCAGCGGGCGCGCCTGGCCGAGCAGGCGGAGCGCTACGACGACATGGCCTCCGCCATGAAGGCGGTGAGCGCGCCGAGAGCCCGGGCGGCCGGTCGGGGTGGTGGTGGGTGGGGAGGGTCCCCGGCGTGAGGGGCGGGAGCGGAGGCCCCGCGGCGGCGGCGCCCTCCGGGCCACAGGCGGCCCCGCGGCCCCGCTGGGCGCGGCCGCCCGCCCGCAGCCCGCGCTTCCCGCGCCCCGCCGGGCGCCCCGCCATTTCCTGCGGCCGGACTCGGGCGGGTCCCCGCGGAGGGAGGCGGTCGGGGTCGCGCTGCAGCCCTGAGGGACGGACGGGGGATGACGGGCGACCCTGCGGGCGGGGGTCGCCGCCTCCCAGCTCGGAGCTCCGCCAGGGGAGGGAGGAGGGGGTGGCCCTTGGGATGGCGAGGCAGACAGCCCTCCTTCCAGAGCCTTCCCCCAGACCCGGGGCTCGCTCCCCGCGTGCCTTCCTCCGCACCCCAACTTGCAATAAAGGATCGCCGCTAGCTAGGGGCGCCCCGTCTCTCCTGCTTTTTTTTTTTTTTTTTTTTTTTTTTTTTTTTTTGCTGCCACGACCTGGAGTCTGTCATTCCGGTCTGCTGGGCTCTGCTCGCTCGGATCGTCCCCCCTCTTCCCCCCCCAGGTCCCCACGCCCGGGGTCTGTCTGGCTTTGTGTGCGGGAGGGAGACCCCCATCCCGCAGTGCAGGCGTGGGCCCCGCTCCCGGGCTGGATGCTGGAGAGGAAAACGAGGCGTGACTCCTAAGCCGGAGGAGCCCGTGTGTGCCTCTGCCGTCTCAGACCCTCGCAGCTCGGTTCTGCAGCCCGGTTTCCGGTGGAGGATGCTGGGAGGGGGCGGGGCGGGGCGGGGTGGGATAGGAGGGGTGGGGGGGGCAGCCACACCCTAACCGTGGGTTCGGCGCCCTCCACCTGCGCTTCAGCGAGCTCCAGCTTTCCTGTTCCACTGCCCCTGCCTCCTAACCTTATCCTTAACGCTCTCTCTCAACGCACGCTGCTTCTCTCCGCCTCAAGGTCACCCGGGGGTAGAGCCACACCTGCGGCCGCCAGCCTGACACCTGGAAGGATTCGCCTGGGCCCCACCTGAGACCTAAAGCGTCTCAGACTATGGGGGGTGGGGAGGGGAGCTCCCCAGAAATCTGCATTCTCACCAGCTCTCGGGGCAGATGTTAGTGGGCTTACGTGTGAGAATGACCTCCCTGGGTTTGCGAGGGGATTTCTTAGGGGAAAAGCCACACATCCAGAGGTGCCGTAGCATTTCTGAATCATCTGCAAAGCGTCTTTGGAGGCTTTTGGTATTCCTATGATATTAATATTGATAGGAGGTATGTTGCCGAGGTCAGTATGTGGGACTTCCCAGGTAAGAAACATACATGAAGCGCCGTGTTTGCAGGAGCGGCCTTAGTGCACACGAACAAGGCGTGTTCGGGAGCCACAGCCACAGCCCGTGTGTTGACTCAGTGACGCCATGGCGTGGCATGGGGTAGATAAGGACTTTCCCCCACACCTGGGCCATGCTGGAGGCCCCGTTTAAGGAAATAAATGGAAACGGTAATTCATTTTGGAAAATTTCTCACCAACAGCACTGGCTGTGTGGCCTCGTTTCCTTGGAAGAGGCCCTGAGCTTTCATTTCTTTGTGATAAAGCCACTCTGCCACACAGCAAGTCCCGCTTAACCCAGTAACCGAGCCCTGCTGGGATTAGGCCGGGGGGCTCTCTGGACATTTTAGGGAGGCCCTGGCTTCACCCTGTGAGTGGTGGAGCCTTTTGGGGGATGAAGGCATGAGACCGGAAAGAAGGTGAATTGAAGTTACGACAAAAAGACTAGAAGGTGTGTTCTGAGCTCTGGGGAACCTGAGGCCCCTCAGGCGGGGAGGAGGAGAGAGAAGCAGCTTAAGAAGTAGTTTGGGGCGAGAAGATGTGGGCTTTCTGCTCTTCATATCCAGGCATGAAAAAATGCTTCCCTGCAGCTCCTGTGTCCAGCTCTCCTCTGAGGCTGTGAGGTAGCATTTCACACACGGCCCCTCTGGGTGCCGGGAATCTGGACTGAACTGGTGGATGGAGGGAATAAGCCCTCCAGCATCAAAAATTCAATCCAAGCTGTAATTATGTCTCAGAATTGGGATAAACCCTTTCTCAAGGTAACTCCTGTAAAAAAAAAAAAAAAAAAAATTAAGAATATGTCTGTGTGTCAATATGCCTGTTTCTTCTATTAAAATTATTTTTTTTTTTGTCATCGACATTAATGGAATATGTTTATTGGAAAGGAGTTGGCAGGGGTCAGTGGGAAACCTAAGTTGATGCTTGTATGTTCTATTCTTAATGTTATTGAGAAGACTCAGTCTCCGTTTTATTAATGTCGCAGGCCTTCAGAGCTTTGGGAAAGAGGGAATTCTGGTAGCCCTCTGGCTCTCTGTGGGCTTTCTCCCGGGCAGGTAAGTGGACTGCTGTGAGGGGGACGGGGCTGCACACAGAGGGAAGGAATGCCCGAGGCCACCGCTCTGTGACCTTGAAGCTTCCATCTGGGCGTGGGGTCCTCTGCGGTGTAAAGCTGATGTCGGTGTAACTATCCAGCTGACTTCAGTCTTCATTCTTCTGACTTTTCTCTTTTCCTCTATCATATACATGGTCCTCTAATAGTACTGCCTGCTTGTAGCGATGGATGTTTTAATGGTCCCAGCGCCCCCTGGAGGAGGCTGTGGGTAAGCTCTAAGCAAAGTCATGGCCATCAGAATCCGGGTGTCTCACTCCGCTGAGAACTGCCATTCCGCTCACCCGGTAATTTGAAGAAATGGCTCAGACGACATACAGGGGAGCCTTCAAGCGCTCCACTCTCAGACCTAGTAGCTCATGTGGAGTGTGAGAGTGGGAAGAAACACGGGAGGATTCTAGAACCCCACGTGCTTGTCAGCACCGACACAGGATGGGCAGAAACGTCGGAAGGACTGAGTATGTGTGTGTAGGAAACAAGGAAACAGGAGGAAGAGGCACTGGGCCTGGGCAGGGGCAAAGGGCTCTAATCCCGACAGCTGTGAGCTTACGGAGAAGGGGACGGAGCAGGTGCCGAGTGGCCGGGGTGAGAACCCGCGCTGCGGAGTGTGGAATGAATGATGATTTGAGGTGTACCAACCCTGTGGTTAGTGTGAAACCTTAAAACCATGGGTACTACAGTCTGCAATACAGATATAAACCCGAGGCCTGTTCCCACTAGCCAGACATTGAGAAGTAATTACTGCTTTGTCACCTAATGTCTGAGGAAGGAAGGATCCTTGCAGTATCCGAGTTACAAGGCACTTCAGGTAGCAATTTTGCTTATTCTCTTATGTTTTAAATACATTGATTTGAGAAAGAGTAACATTGATGATGAGAATCATGATCAGCTGCCTCTTACATGCCCCCTATTGGGAATTGAGCCTGCATCTTGGGCATGTGCCCCCGACCTGGAATGGAACCGTGACTACCTGGTTCATCAGCCACACCAACCATTTTATTTTTTTATCCTCACCCGAGGATATTTTTCCCATTGATTCTAGAGAGAGTGTTGTGGGGTGAGGGAGCAATGAGAGAGTGACATTGATTGGTTGCCTCTTACACGTGCCTCTTCCGGGGCTGACAACCTGCAACTGAAGTACCTGCCCTTGACTGGGGGCATCAAACACAAGACCCTTTGGTCTGCAGGCTTATTCTCTAACCACTGAGAAAACTGGTCAGGATGGGATTTTGCTTATTCTCTTGAAGACCAAGATTTTTTTTCCAGCTTATTCGAAATAATGGGCTTTGAGTCCCTGCTATGAATTAAGTGCAGGGCTATGTTAAGTTATACATGTGGTATTTTAAGAAATGGATACACTCGGCACCCGTTGTTTTTCTATGTTGCCTGTAGTATAAGCTGCAACCCCCCAGATTTCAGGCTTTAGGTTGTTGGTAAAATGGTTAATGTCCAAGTGGAGGCCACTGTTTTCTGTCCCCACTCCTCGCTGCCATGGCATTCCTCTCCGTGATGGGTGTTGGCACTTTCCTGCGATCAGAGTCTGGAACCTTCAGGCTGGTGCTTCCAGGGGAAGGAGAACGCAGTATGCCATTCAGATGGGGCTGTAGTTCCCTCCTGCCAGTGCCTACAGAAACGGCCAGCCACGTCAAGAGCAAGACCCAGGCAGGCTCAGTGATGCAGGGGTGGCTGTTGAACTACCTGCGCTCATTGCTCTGGGATTGCCACTGAGCCTCTCCGGGGGCTTACAGGCCTGCAGCCCAGCTTGGAACCAGGCAGAACCCTTACTTTGAGGGTTTTGACTTCAGGAAGAGCCAGCCAAGAAGGCTTTCATCCCTCTAACTTTAGTTTTTTTTTTTTTTTTTTAAATATGTTTTATTGAATTTTTACAGAGAGGAAGGGAGAGGGATAGAATGCTAGACACATCGATGACAGAGAAACATCGACCAGCTGCCTCTTGCACACCCCCTACTGGGGATGTGCCCGCAACCAATGTACATGCCCTTGACCAGAATCAAACCTGGGACCCCTCAGTCCACAGACCAACGCTCTATCCACTGAGCCAAACCGGTTTCGGCCATCCCTCTTAACTTTAAAAAACAAAACGGGTGTATAGGATTCTGCCACTGAAGCCTAAAGGTTTTATGATGTGGTCATGTTTATCTGATTGTTTATGAAAATCGTTTTCTTCTGTTACAAACTCTAGTATGAGAAGCAAACTAGCTGGTGGCGTGGGGAGGGTGAGTATGAAGGGGGGTGGCAGTGTGTGGGGGAGCGGTGAAGGGGAAGTACCTGCCCGGCTGTGGCCTGGCCGCCGGGGAGGGCATTTTTGTTTGCTCAGTATTACTTGTGAGGCTGGCTGTTTCCCAGAATAAGAACTTTAAGTTTTCCCAAATACTCCCTGTGCTATTTTTAGCAGTGGGTCTATTTTTACTCCCAAACGAAGAGTTTATTGCCTGGTGAGTTAGGGAGGAGGCCCTGCGGGATTGTGAGTAAGCCGCAGTGTCACAGGAGGAGAAGGGAGTTCTTGGTAGGCCAGATTATTGGTGACTCTTCCTAATGCTGTGTAATATGAAGCGGAGGGGGGGAGGCGAGTGCGCTGGCTGGGACTGTGTGTGTGGAAAGGATGCCAGACCAGGGGCCGACAGGAGCCAGTCCTTAAAGGAAGTGGAGAGTGGGGCTTTCTGAATGGCAAGGGCCCACCATTCAAGATTTGCAGGAAGTGTGTAAGGAGGAAACGAGGTGGGGAGAGGGCAGAGGGCTGGGAGCAGAGGTGGGGAGCCCTCCCAGGTGGGGTTGCCAGGCGAAGGCTCGGACGAGTGTTGAAACCTGCGTCCGAGCGGAAGGAAGGCTGAGAGCCATTGTCTAGGTCTCTTCTGTCGTGACAACTCTCTGTCTCGCCTTCATGTTCTAAACGGAACCATTGGGAAAGAGGATTGTAGAGACGCAGTAAATCACCCCAGGTGGTCGTGCTGGTTCCGTGTTCGTGTGGTTGGGACCCCAGTTGGTGCTTTCCTCTCTTTCCATTGGGCCAGCATCTGCCTCCCTTAGCAAAGGACGGGACTCCTCTGGTCTCCTAGCTCCAGTGCTTTGGTATTTGAAGGGTTGGGAACTGGGGCTAAATGATGGTATGAAGGCTCTTTACCATAAGGATTGCCAGTCAATGTGGATCTGTTTGGCTTTAATGGCCATCTGGTTTTCCTTTGACATAATTTTCCTTCTCACCTGGGAACATGCCCAGTTTTTTTTAGTTATTTGATCAAGCAAGAAGCCTACTTTGATTCCCTAAGTTTCTCTTCGTTAACTGCATTGTAACCCAGGATGATTTAAAAAAAAAAAAATCCCATATTTAAATGTATCCAGTGAGGTCCTGGCCAAGGTTCTCGGAACAATGCTTGCCTGGTGAAGTTAGTCACCCTCAGCTGATGCTGACAGTGATTCATTCAGACTGGCAGGCAACCAGGTGATTGTTACATAAACACGCATGCTCCTAGTTAATTGTTTTTCTTGTGGAGGTGTCATTAAGAATACCGCCCAAGAGCCTTTTCTGGCAGCTGATTCCTAATGGGGAAAGGGAATGCTACGTGAATTCCAGAAATCCAGATGCACCCACATTTCATTTACATTAAGAATCAGCCTTAACCATGCCTCTTATTTACCAGGGAAAATGGAATCCTAGGATTTGGGAGCTGCAGTCCTTGGAGATCATTCGGGTTGACCCCCCTTTTACTTTTGATGAAAGGTGGTGATTGATGCCAGTTCACACAGTGGGCTCAGGCTGAACTCCTGATGGCTTAGGTTTTTAAAGTACTGATTCTGCCCCGGTACAGACATCCTATGTGCTGTGCAGTGTTTCTCTGTGTGCACTGGGGCTGCTGGTGTGCTGTGGAGAGTTACCTCTGTGCATCTACAGAGCCTAACACAGCAGCTTCCTTAGTCAAGGATAGAGGATGCAGGGACCTTTTTGGATACATTTGCATTTTCATGTCAAGTGGCCGTCCTCAGATTTACTTCCTGCAAGATCTGAGGGCTCTCCAAATTCTGTTCTTGCTTCAGGCTATGTTTCATTGGCCATTGGTCCTAGAAAAGGGCTATTCCAGAGGATTCAAGCATCCTGCAACCTTTCAGAGTATTTGATACAGAATTTTGATTTATAAGGATTTCTTCCTTAAAAGACCAAATTACCAAACAAGTGTCTACAAAGACCATCTTTCGGATACACAGATGAGTGACTAAGGTACTCACGGTTTGAGGAAACTAGTGTGTCCAGCTGGAGTTGAAGGGAGCCTAGATGTGGGCTAGTGGAGAGAAAATGGGTAGATCATAGGACCACAGAGCTCAGAGCCCACTCTGCCAGTGTGAGAGGAATGAGGAGCCTGGCCTGCAGGCAGCGGCCTGGGGAATGGGCAGGGGCGACTTGTAGGCAAAGACAGAGCTGAAGATAGAAGCGGGGTTGGGTTCATTGAGGAGGCAGAGGAGAGGAAATCCAGGCTAAGGATCACGGCAAAAGAATGGAGACTTTGGACAGGGAATAAATCGATTAGAAGAGGGAGCTGATATTTTATTTTGCCTGGGCTTTGTTGAGTTGGGGTAGTGGATAATTACTTGTTTCACTTTGTAGGAACTTGGCACAAGTTTTCCTAATTTTATACAAAGTGATTACATTTGTTGCTTATGTTTGTTTTGAAAATTCTGGATTCTGACTGCTGTCTTTCTCAGTCCGTGTTAAGCATGTCTGTTTTTAATGTGCTGTTAATAGCTTTCTCCATTGAACTTGGCTTTCCCCCTCCACTGGAGGAGATTCTGTCCTTATTTGGTGTGATTTACACTAATACCTTTCTGTTGTTGATTAATTTATTGTTTCCCAAGTGCTTCTCTTGACCAGCAGGTCATGTAATTAAGGAATCGCCCTACTTTACAGAAGATCCAGGCCAGTTTAGCAACTTACTGGCTTTGCTGAGGCCTAGACCAAGGTTTTTTTACTCCAAGTTTGCCTTAGTTTCCAGTGCAGTCCCAAAGAACCACAAATGGAATGGCTTCAGGAAGTGTGCAGAGCTGTGCTCCCCCCGATGCTTTGGGGAAGAACTGGTCCCAGCTTCAGGTTGTCATTGATGTTCCTGGGCTTGTAGACAGATCTCCAGTTCTGCCTCCCCCATCACAGGGTGTTCTCTGTGTGTTTGTTTGTCTCCAAACCTCCTTTTCCTTATAAGGATGGCAGGCATTGGCTGTCGGATCCACCCTAATGCAGGGTGACTTCATCCGAACTGATTACATCTGCAAAGGCCCTTTTCCAAATAAGGCCACACAGCCAGGTGCTACAGATTGGGACTTCCTCAGATCTTTTGGGGGGGGACACGGCTCAACAACAACACAGCCCATCGTCTTGCCACCAACGACATAACTGGCTCTAGCTGGCTCACTTGGAGGTGGCATCATGGAGAACTGAGGAATGGCATCACAGCTGGTGACATTTAACGGGACCCAGCGAACAGGTGGTGCTTCCCCTTGTTGGCCAGTAGAGTTCCTGGCAGGTGGTGGAGTGAAGCTTGTGCTGAGCAGCTCTGCTTCCTTTCAGCGGAGGCTGGGGTCCTTCCCTGCCCCTAACGCATCCGCTGTGGCTCCGCGGATTCCATGGAGCCACACTGGCCGACACTGGCCACTAGGTCTGTGTGGTGTGTGATCTCATCTGGGGAGCGCTTACCTATTAAGTGTTATGAGGGAGGCTTCATTGCTGCTTTCTAGAATATAAAGTTGGAAGTAGAATCTGGAACAGACTTCCAGTCTGTAAGTTTTGAACATTTGACAAAGGAATCGTACGATCTGATTGTTGAGAATATCTTGTGCAGAACAGCTGGACCTTTGGGGCTTTCCCACGCACCTTTAGGTGCCATCACCTATGACCTTCCATGGTTCCCTTCTCCCCTTACCTCTGCCCAGGTGAAGGTGACTCAGAGCTCAGAAGGTCTGAATTAGGGATGTCTCAAAGCCCTAATTTAATACTTTGAGCTTCAAGTAGTTGTTTCTCTGGTTGTAGATTGCAGTCTTCTGATTGGCTTTCCTGCAGACTGGCTTGTCCATAATCTTGCTTTGGAGAAGGGTTGTCGGTGAGAACGAAGGGAAGGTTTCTTTCCAAGATTGTCGGACTTGGGTCTCGGTGTTAACATCTTCGGCATTTTGCAGGTGACAGAGCTCAACGAACCCCTCTCCAATGAAGACCGGAACCTCCTCTCCGTGGCCTACAAGAACGTGGTGGGCGCCAGGCGGTCTTCCTGGAGGGTCATCAGCAGCATCGAGCAGAAGACCATGGCCGACGGGAACGAGAAGAAGCTGGAGAAGGTGAAGGCTTACCGGGAGAAGATCGAGAAGGAGCTGGAGACCGTGTGCAACGACGTGCTGGCCCTGCTGGACAAGTTCCTCATCAAGAACTGCAATGACTTCCAGTACGAGAGCAAGGTGTTCTACCTGAAGATGAAGGGCGACTACTACCGCTACCTGGCCGAGGTGGCCTCCGGCGAGAAGAAGAACAGTGTGGTGGAAGCCTCCGAGGCGGCCTACAAGGAAGCCTTCGAAATCAGCAAGGAGCACATGCAGCCCACGCACCCCATCCGGCTGGGCCTGGCCCTCAACTTCTCCGTCTTCTACTACGAGATCCAGAACGCGCCTGAGCAGGCCTGCCTCTTAGCCAAACAAGCCTTCGATGACGCCATCGCGGAGCTGGACACGCTAAACGAGGATTCCTATAAGGACTCCACGCTCATCATGCAGCTGCTGCGAGACAACCTCACCCTCTGGACGAGCGACCAGCAGGATGAAGACGCAGGAGAAGGCAACTGAGGAGCCTTCCCTTCCCGTCCCGGCCCTCCCTCCACCCACCGCCCCCTCCATCACTGATTCTTCCCGGCCACAGTCACTAAGTATCTAGTGCTAAACCTATCTGTATCGGCAGCACCGCTACTCAGACCTGTTCCCCTGCCCCCCCGGGAAGCAGGCTCAGATCCGTCGTGGGCATTGCTGGATCGATGGTTCAGGGAGCCCACGGGAGCTTTCTTTTGAATTGTGTAGACAAGTGCGTTCTGATCGAGGCATTGTACGATGCCTGTGCATAGTTGGGAAAGCGATGGGGAAGTTTAGGAAGGAGAATGAGCCCAAACAGGTTGTGATGATATTTAAGCTACCCATTTAAAACGAGCTGATAGTGTTTTGTTAATAAGCAGTACATCTTGTGCATGCAAAAAAGAATTCACCCCTCCCGCCTCTTCTTCCTTCAGCTAATGGAAAACCGTTAAGGGAAGCTGATACAAAGAGACACTGCTTCTTTCCATCAGCTTTCTAGAAACTGTTCACGTGAGGTTTCAGTAGCGCCTTGTTTCGCCTCTTTAAATTATGATGTGCACAAACCTTTTACATGCGATGCATCTAAAGTTTTGATACCTGTAACTTTTTTTTTGGTTGCGATTGTTTAAGAATCATGGATTTATTTTTTGTAACCCTTCGGATAGTATCCTTGTGTATCCTGACAACGCCACGTGTGTCAGCCCATGTCAATCAAGATGGGTAATTATTGAAATGCCAGACTTCTAAATTAAATGTTTCGGAATTCAGTGGGTAAATAAATGCTGCTCTGGGGAGATCTCTCTAGGTGTATGGTCTTCATTTCCCCTCCTCAGGGAGCTGTGTCACAGCTCACCACATCGAATCCCGGTTTGTGTCTCACACATGAAGCATTCTTCATGCAGCAAATTTTTTTGCCTTCCGGTTCCATTACACATTTTGTAATGCACACATAAGACTCCTGCATTTTAAAGAATTTCCTGTGAGCCAGCCAACAAGCCTCTCTTATCCCTTACCCTCCCTGATAACTGCTTTTATGGGAGCCTCTGTGAGGGTCAGGCCTTGTTTAGCTCAAGGGGGAGGGTGTTTGTCCCACCCTACTGGGGTGCTGGTTGGTATTAAAACTCAAGGTACCTAGTGAGCTTATACATGAACTCAAAAAAATTTTTTTTAATTTGTTTTTTAAACATTTTTAAAACTAATTTTGGAGAGGAAGAGAGAGAGAGAAACATCAATGATGAGAACCATTGATTGGCTGCCTCCTGCACACCCCCCACTGGGGATTGAGCCGCAACCCGGGGCAGGTGCCCATGACCAGGAAACCACCAGCCACTGAGCCACACCAGCCCGACCTCAAATTTTCTTAACATTTTTCCTGTATTAGGTGTAATAAAATGTTAACTAGGGACACAACCTGGATTCCTGAAATAACTTTCACTGGTTCATATTAAGAAAGCTTTGAGTAGTCTTTAAAATTGAAACACGAGCCTCCGTGTGAGTTTAAAAAAGAAGAAGATCTAACCTCTGAAGCGGGCTCCCCACTTCTTGCTCCCCAGCACTTGAGGCTCAGCATCACCAGTTGGATTCCTCCCCATGTGATGACTCCAGCCCCTTACAATTGTTACCACCTCCAGGGCGGTGCCTGGGACAGCGGATTGGTTCAGCTGATTTTAGAAACTTCGGTTGCCTCCCGTACATGCCCTAACCCCGCAACCTAGGTATGCGCCCTGACCGGGAATCAAACCCCCAACCTCTGTGTACAGGATGATGCTCCAACCAACCAAGGCCCCAGTCGGGGCTTACCTACTTTTTCTTGACTATAGCTTGCTATTAGACTGGCGAAGTGACCCCATTTCTGTCCTTGAGCTTAAATTGTGGTGCACAGAACGTTTAAGCAATGAGGTTTAACCTATTTTCTCATTTTGAAGTAGAGGACTGACCCACGTGTTATAAAAACTCTCGAGGTAGCCTGCTTCCAGTTGGCCTAATTGCTGGCTAAAATGGTTCCCCAGTTTCACTTCAATTAGGTCAGGTATCTTAAAGCCACAAGCTTTATCCGGCCAGGATACTTGGCTTTGACACACATGTAGACATTGAAATTTTTCTCATGTGGTGTGGCTGGGTGGGGGTGTCGTCCTGTACACCCAGAGGTGGCGGGTGGTTTGGTTCCTGGTCAGGGCACATGCATAGGCTACAGGTTCGATCCCCGGTTGGGGCCCAATGTTTCTCACGGATGTTTCTTTCCCTTCTCTCAGAAATCAATAAAACTCACACACCAAGAACTGTTCTGACATTGGCAGTGCTCTTCAGAGCAAGGGCTGTGGGGGAAACTTTCATTTCACGCCTTGTCTGTCTGTCTAAAGGTTTTGTGCCCGCCCTACAGATGAGGGTTGCAGGCTCGATCCCTTTTGGGGCGGGCAGGAGGCAACCGATCAATGATTCCCATCATGGATGTTTCTATTTCTCCCTCTCCCTTCTCTGAAATAAAAGAAAAAATTTAAAAAAAAACATGAATAATTGATTGACTTGAGGCCAGGATTTTTAAAAAAATGCAATGACCAAAGGGAATCCTTTGTAGTCTCACCCGGTCTACTACCAATGAGCCATGTAAGAGACAGGGTTCTGAGGCCTCAGGGTTGTTTTTTTTTTTTTAAATATATATTTTGATTTTTCACAGAGAGGAAGGGAAATAGAAACATCCATGAGTCATCGATCAGCTGCCTCTTGCACGCCCCCTACTGGGGATGTGCCAGAAACCAAGGTACATGCTCTTGACCAGAATTGAACCTGGGACCCTTCCGTCTGCAAGCTGATGCTCTATCCACTGAGCCAAACCGGTTTCAACTCAGGATTGGTTCTAACATCATCTCTAAATTGATGGTGTGACCTTGAGCGAGTTCTGGCCTCTCAGCAGCCCCTGAAAAGGAAGCGAGTGCTTTTGGGGTGGGGTGGGGGTGGTTCTCTGGTGCCTTGCTGATTCTGAGATCCTGTTATTTCCAACTGCTCTGGGATGGTCCTCATCCTCTTCCTGGCCTTTCCCCCTGCCCTGCCCCTCTTCCTTCCGCCCTTCACATCTGTCCCCTCTGCATCCGCCCTCTGCCCTCTTCGCTTTCCTGGCCCCCCCCTAGTTCCACTGAGACGGTTACCATGGTAACCATCTCCTGGAATTGACATCACTCATCTCCTAGGCAACTGTTTCCAGGGCAGTGACATCAATCGATCACCATGGCAACTCTCCAGGAGGACAGTTCTGCAGTGAAATGGGCAAACAGAATCCTTATGTATTTCTGGGGGCTGGGGGCAATGCATGGAGCATATATATATATATATATATATATATATATATATATATATATTTTTTTTTTTTTTTTTTTTTAAGAGAAGCATCTCAGGAGCAAGAAGAAAAAGCGTTGGGCTTCGTTCGAGGGGAAACGAGGAAACCCAGCACGGGTCTGGGAAAGAGCAGGAGCTCTCGGGCGAATCCCCATCCTTCCCTTCCAATAACTAGGCTGACCGCGTACTATGCCACCCAACTGGGACACCGGAGCGGGAACCAGGGCACATTATGATGGTGCTGGGACGACGGGTGAAAACTGGGCCTTCTTAAGTAAACCAGGGCAGGGGGCCCCGCCCACCGTCAGGAAGGTGCCTGCCCTCCCTCCCTCCCCTCATTAGCATTGATCCAGCTCCTCCTGCGTGGGGGCACCCCGACCCCAGGATGAGCAAAGCCAGCCCGGTCCCTGTCCTAACGGAGCGCACAGTACTGTGTGTGCTGGGCCGAGGGAACCCTGGGTGCGGACTGAGAGCGGTGCTGGGAAGGGAACACTCAGAATGCCAGGGATGTGTTAACAAGAGGACCAGCCTGGCCGGTGAGCCAGGTGCTGTCAGGCCGGCCACGTCCTTACTGGTCACCTCCACCATCTGTGCTGAGGAGCCGACAGAGGGTCTGGGAGGGGATGAGGCCCTCCGCCCATCACGGCTGCTTCCTCTCCACCACCGATGCTCTCCGCCGGCCTTTAGGGTTCTGCCCAGGCCTGTCTCCCCAGGAGGGGAGATGGGTGGGGGGCTGAGCCTCAGTTTTCTCCTCTGTGAAATGGGGATGATGACAGCAGCAGCGCCTGCCCCCTAGGCTGGTGCCGAGGCGGAAGGAAATGTAACTGATGAATCGTAGGGACAGTTAGAGTCAGGCGGGGAGGGCAGGAGGTGTGGGTGTGCACAGGACACATGGCCTGGGGGTGGAGGCGGGAGAGGCTGGGGACAGCGGCATATGGACCAGCTGGCTGCGGGCGGCGCCGCCTCCTCGCCAGCTGGCTCCCCAGGAGGCAGCGTGGTTTGTGCCCCTCATTCCCAGCCCCGCACCTGCTGCTGCGGGAGGAGGGTGGGCACGGCCTCCCTCGGGAAAAGCAGGGAGAGCTTGGGAACAGGAGGTGGCATCCCTGAGGCCTAAGCCTGGGGCAGGGGTGGGGGAAGGAATAAGCGGCCTGTGTTTGGGCCCTCGGTCCCCATCCACCTCCCAGGCCTACTCTCAGCCCCACCGTCAAACAACCATGGTTTTGCTACGGCCTCCAACGGCAGGATTTGGAAAGGCACAGACCGCTGAGTTTAGGAAAGAGTGAAGCCTACTAGCCGGTTTGGCTTCGTGGATAGAGCTTCAGTCTGTTGACTGAAGGGTCCCGGGTTCGATTCCGGTCAAGGGCACATGCCCAGGTTGCAGGCTTGATCCCCAGTAGGGGGTGTGCAGGAGGCAGCCTGTCAATGATTCATCATTGAGGTGAGATTAATAAAAATATATTTTAAATTAATATTAAATATATTAACATTAATGTATTAACTAATTAATAAAATATAAATTAATAAAAAATATATTTTAAAAAGGAGTGAATAAACAGGAGGATTAGGTCCTATGATTCCAGGACATGTGCGTGGGTGTACACACACACACACACACACACACACACACTTCATTTCCTTTATGCACTAGTCAGGGTTCACGCAGAGGAACA